TTTGTTTGTTTGTTTGTTTGTTTGTTTTACCCATCTTTGGTGGAGAATCTAGATCAGTTAAAACATTACCCATAATAATCAAGTTCTTAACGATTTAAATTTAACTAATAATAAAAACAAACTAAAAATAAAAAATCTTGAAGTATGTGGACAGAACGTATTGTGGTTCAACCTGTTTTCAAAATAAAAGCATCATTGATTGTATTTTCTAAAAACATATATATTTCAAGGGTGAATGAAAGTTAAATATAGGAAACTTTAAAATGAAAAAATGTAGTATAATAAAAGTAGTGTATTTTACGTACCTTTGTTGTTGCCTTTTTTGTATAAAACTATCTTTTGTGATTTATTTTGAAACGTTTGCTGTATTTTGGCACTGGCATTCATCCGGAGTTGACGTGCAAAGCAGGAAGAGCAACYGGCTCTGTTTTGGAGCAGAGCCGAAAAGGAACCGGATCGGAGGAGTCATGAAACCTGTGGAGGTGCTTCTTCTTCTCACGGTGGGATCAGTTTGTGGACGAGTTGCTGCAGAAAGAAAACTAGCTTACGTGTCTGTGGTGAGTAACGTTAGCTACATGGCTACGGAAGCTACGCTGACACCTCCTTTTATTATTTTCTCTTGCGAGTAAACGCTCGCGGAACAACATTCAAAATTGATTAGAGTGTACCTTTCGTTACTTATATGCAAACCTGTTTGTTTTTATACGTACAAATTTGATCTTTAATGAATCTCTGAGGTGTAATAACAAATTCGGCACAAAAACGATTTACTCCAAAATACGTTATTTTTGAACAAATATGTTTAGGTTACGCTGTCCGCAGAACTGTCTACGTTTGGGAATCTTGTTTTTTTAATGCAAACTAAATTGTTTATTTATTGGCAACGTGTTTAAGGTGAAATAGTGAATTCGGCATACAAATGATTTACTCAAGTTATTTTTTTAATGTTTGTTTGGCTTAAGTGCTCGCAGAACTACGTTGAAAACATGGGAAGTTGTGTTTACTTTGCTCCTGTGTACTCAAACTTGACTTCCTGAATAAGACTTGAAGGTTTCCTAAATCTTTGAAGGGCTGTAGTGAATTCGGCATACAAATAGCTTGAAAACATTACGAGTGTAAGCTATGTTAGTAAAATGACTAGCAGCAACCTTTAAAAATGCACGTTTTTACCTTAATAATCAATTCAGCTATGTTAAGTAATGTAGATTATATTGAATTCATTCGAAATGTTTAGTAAACCGACTTGGAATAAATAAAAGAACTGGGACTAAAGAGTGTTGCATCAAATGACCTGACAGCATATTTGAAAACAAAAACTAGTTTTTTGGTACCTGGAACCAGATTCCAGCCTGGGGGGACAGGAGTTCCAGAGAGACATATTTGTCCTTAATTTATGATGTTTGGTTTGCATTAACACAACACCTCCTCCTGCATCGACCTGTTTTATATTTTTACATGTAATCGATTTTGTAAGCAGTTGTAAGCTATTTGTGTTTATTTTAAAATAAAAATCTTATTTCATTGTTTTATTTTTAGTTAACTTTAGTTTGAGGATGTCCAACTTATGTTTCCTGCTATTCCTGAGGATTCTCACGGGGATGTGAGAGTTGTAACATATTTGGGTTTAGTCCAAATAAGACTGAGGAGAAGTGAGGTGCTTTTTTTTTTTTTTTTTTAGAAACGCTCACCTGGTTAGCCTCGGATGACTCCTGCATCAGCTTAGATTAGGACTCAGAAAAGAGATAATCCACACTTTATTTTTAAAGTCTTTATTTTTGGGATGTCATAAACTCCTGAGTCACGCACATAACACCAGCAAGTCTCACTTTTCTGTAGTAAGTTGAAAATTGAAACTGGATTCTCATGTTTCTGTTGAGCTGCTCCGTTATTACAGAGATACTTCAGGTGTTTTGAAACAGGGTTCTGCAGAAAGGTAAGGAACTGTTACCATCTTACTCARCTGAACCCTCTCATCAATTTCAGCCTCCGTTTCGACCTGTTTGAAACCGGTTTGACCTTTTTGTCCAGCATCTGGTGCTAAACTTGCTCGACCTCCTTAAAGTCTGATGACTTTAAATGTCTCCACAGATAAAACGTATTTAAACAGATTGACCTAAATCTGCAGAGAATCCAGATCTTTGTTTGTTTATTTTGACTCTGGAGGAGAGCTGTCGTCTCAGAAGCAGTTGTCATTTTGAAGCATTGTTTTGTTTTTTTTGCCTCAGTTGTTTCGACATGGGGACAGATCACCAATCAAAGCCTATCCCACTGACCCCTACCAGGAGAGCGCCTGGCCCCAGGGCTTCGGACAGCTGTCTCAGGTATGAGCAAGCTTTCAGCTGCTGCTTTAATATTTTCTGAAAGTGGTTTTTGGTGACTCGTGAGCAGCAGGAGGGTTTAAAGGAGACATATCATGCTAAATGCACATTTCTTTGCATTTATAAACCATTTTTTGTGCAATTATAGTGTCTAGGAGTGTAGAAAACTTTAATTTATTCTGTCCAGTTACAGCAAAGATATTTTTATAGTTTTTATGGGTCAAAWTTTTCAGTTTGTTCAAAATCTGCTGTTGCTTATTTCGTTTCATTGTTTATTTCGTCACACTTTTTTCTTCGGAACTACCATCTATGGTAATGTACTTCCGGCCAACTGGATTTCATAGGTCGCCATTTTTTTCCTCGCTGTGTGTTTTTGTAGTTCATAGCGTCATGCCAAATATGCAAGTTCAGAAGTCAAAATGTTCAGTTCTGGGTGTGTAAACCCACATTATTATCTACATAGACTACCAGCGTCAGAGCTTCTTCAAAGTGCCTGGTTAAGTTTCATTTTTCAAGGAAATGGACCCACAACAGGGCGGAAAGTGCTTGTGGACAACACAGGATGAATGTTGCAACAACAAGGGTGAGTTATGAACTGTAAATGTGTTTGAACCATGCGGCTTATAG